TGTGATATGTTTTTGTCCACTTAAAAAAAATTTTTTTTTGCTAAAAAATAATAACAAATCAAATTTAGCAAGGATATTTTGAACAAACACCAAATATCAATTAAAGAGCATACAATAACCTATAAAATGATATATAATACTTGTAGGTAGCTACAAAATTACAGCCATGAGACACAGTGAAGAATAAGATATATTCAAGGTCATTAAAAACTGGAAAAATCTAGTCTTTTGAGAGTTAATATAACAATTTTCCTTTTTAACTAAAAATGACAACAGCAGATTTGTTTACATTACAATGTAGTCTATTTCACTTTTGTAGTTGCATAAACTGAAACTTAAATCTGTTATTTAATTAATAATTATTTCATGTCACTCTTTCATACAGTGAAGACCAAGCCAAACTTGCTGCAAGAAAATATGCCAGAATTGTTCAAAAGTTAAATTTTCCAGTAAGTAACAATTGTTGAACTTTAAATGAATACACATTTGAATTTTATTTTAAAAAATACAACCTTTAAGCTTCTAAACTATGGGGGAGAGAGATGAATACAATTGTTCTCATAATGCAACATCAACTGTGAAGTCTAATGATTTTTCTCTAATTTTCAGCAGAATGAAATAATTAGGTCACATGCACAGAATCATGTATTATGGCCTTAAAGTTGTCATAAGGCTATAAATTAATTTTGAGAAATCTAGAGAATGAAAACATAAATTCATAAAGCATCAATATGTCAATAATTATGAAACATTGCAATGTGTGATTTTTACAAAAGTATTGCCTTTGAAGATTAGACATCATTGATTTCACTGAATGACAGATTTTAGATATGTCAGTGATATAAATAACCTGTCTATGTAGGTAGTCAACATTACAAGATAATTATTGCAGAATTTGGGCAATAATTTACACCCCCAATCCTGCCCATATACACATCAAATTTTCACAAACTATCAGGATATAACTCTAGTGCTTCTCTGAGGTAATTGTTTTCATGCAAGAATTAGTCTCACGTTATGGACACATTTTATTTTACAAAACAGATCTTGACTGTCAGGGTGTAACTTCCATAAAGATAAACAAGAGTGAATGTGAGAGGAAAATGGTAATTGTGGCTTCATGTGTTCCACACAGAAAGACAAGGAATGGGAAATATTGTTTCTTTTTTACTAATCATTTAGTACAAACTAGTTGAACTAAAAATTTTGCTCAGAAGTCCTACCACAGGCTGACTTTATTAGCATCCACATATTCCTACAAAAAGGACAAGCCAGATGGGCAGAACATGTTGCAAGTAAGCCAGACAGCAGGCTTCCTTAACAGCTAATGCATTGTGAATTTTCCCTCAAATCCAAGGACATCAACCTGAATTCATGGGAAACACTTGCTATGGATCATACAAGATTGTGAAGCAGACTCAATGTTGGAGCACAATCCTCAGAGAGTAAACACGCAGCTCATGCACAAAGAAAGCTTACAGCAAGGAAAATCAGAATTGCCTCCAATCCATCCAGGACATCAAAACACGTGTGTCCCAGAAGCAAGCAAGCTTTGATTGATTGATTGATTGATTTTGATATTTATACCGCGCTGGTATCAATGCCACTTAAGCTTGCTCACTGCGCTCTGGTTTTCCGAAATCCATTTAAACAAACAAGTTTTTAAATATTTCTTAAATAATTTTTTATCATTTTCAATGGAGATCTCGTAGAACTGGGGTGATGTGGTCAGATTTCTTCATCAGCGAAACAATGCGTGCTGCAGTATTTTGTATCTTTTGGAGTCTCTGAATTTGGTTCTGAGGAAACCCCACAAACAACTGTTACAGTAATCTAATCTTGACTGGATTAGAGTTACCGCTACAGCATTGGCTGTTCTCCTATTGAGTTGAGGACGCAGCTGACCCAGGGCACGCAGATGACAAAAGCATGCTTTGACCACAGAACTGATATGGGGAATCATACTAAGTTAACTATCATATAAAAGCCAAGGTCTCTGACAGTCGAGATCAACGGAATCTCTGATTCACCAACTTTTATCGATGCAATGGCAACTTTCAGAAGATTGGCATCTGAACCACAAATAATTGCCTTGGGCTTATCTTCATTTAATTTTAGTCTGTTTGATGACATCCATTCTTTCACAGCAAGACAGCAGTCATCGACAGCCTGAACAGCAGCAGCACACTCCAAGGGATCAGGGCGGAAACATTTGTACAGTTCTGTGTCATCCGCAAATATTTTGCGGGAGATACCATGACTTTCGATAATTTTGCCGAGCTGGTTAGTGTACATGGAGTACAGAATAGGTCCTAAAACTGAGCCCTGTCACACACCACAGGTAACAGAAGTGTTCATGGAAGACGCCTGTTTCACTACAATACGCTGAGTCCTGTCAGTCAGATAAGAAGAAAACCAGCGAAGTGCAGTTCCAGTGATGCCAGCCACATTCAGAAGTCTTGACAGAAGAAGCTCATGATCAATCACATCAAAAGCCGCACTGAGATCCAACAGAACCAATATTGTCAGATCACCATGGTCAGCATTACAAAGAACATCATTCATAACAGGGAGCAGTGCTGCCTCACAGCTGTGCCCGGGTCGATATGCAGATTGAAACTTGTTAAGCAAGTCATAAGTATTAAGATGCTGCACAAGCTGCTGTGACACAACTCTCTCAAGAATCTTAGATACAAAGGGCAGGTTGGAAACTGGGTGAAAATTCTTGCAGTCATTTGGGTCCAGACCACTTTTTTTTTAAGCAGAGGCTTAACGACCGCTGTCTTGAAGAGACGTGGGACTGTAGCAGACTGAAGGCTAATATTAATATTCATGATGTTGACAATTACAGGAAGAAAGACTTCCAGACAGTCCAAAACAATCCTGGTTGCTTTCCAGGCAAAAATAGGGCAAGCCACCTACATACTTTCTATCGAACATAGCAAACAATAGCATTTCAAACTGACTTGCTTTAATTACAGAATACACCTAGATTTCACTGTAGGAAAATGTTGAAATGGAAAACATAAATCATTATCCAGTTCTTCACACATTTCTTGAGAAAATGTCTTTATTTTAAAAATAATTGTTATTGCAGTTTTTTTTTTTTAAACTTTTTTTTTTAACAGGCCAAGTTTTTGGATTTTAAGATACAGAATATGGTTGGCAGCTGTGATGTTAAATTTCCAATAAGATTAGAAGGCTTGGTCCTTACACATGCACAGTTTTCAAGGTAATTTACAAATGTTTTTTTTATTTTTAAATGCTAATATTTTACAATAATTTATGTAATCTAGTGCAATGTGGCATTAAAAATAACAAATGTAATGTTGATTAATCAGCAGTTGCCTCTTCAATCCCTGCTTTTCGAAATCTATTTAAAACTGCAGCATCAGCACAATGAAAAATTGATTGTTAAAAAAGATTAAGGTTTTTAACATCATTATTTAATAAATTTTATCCCGAGTTGCGTCAATTTAAAATATGTTAAACAATAAGGCATCGTCATATGTTTCAAGCAAATGGTAAAGTTCTTAAGATTTTTGTATTTTTATTAAGTTAAAATGTTTCTCCAGTTATGAGCCAGAGTTGTTTCCAGGACTTATTTACAGAATGGTCAAGCCCAGAATTGTACTTTTAATATTCGTTTCTGGTAAAGTTGTATTGACAGGTGAGTCGCAAATATTGCTTATTCCAGACCTTCCTACCAAAGCAAATTGTTAACTACCTCTAAATAGTATTTACAAATTTAAAAAAACAAAATATTTTTAGTTTGAAAATTGTTTTTATTGAACTGCAAGACAAATCAACTAACTGATTAATGTTTAAGGACAAAAATCACTGCCCTTAGCGAGGTAGCTGCTGTTTTTCAGCTTGATTTTCATGCATGTATGATCAAAGGAAGTCCTTCACAAAGAACCAGAGACACTTAGATTTATCTCTACTCTTTGTCAATTAGATGTCATATTATTGTACGAAAACATACAAAAGCAGCTTAATCGAGTCCCAAAAAGGGTATTTGTTCTGTTTTTCTTGCTTTTCTTAAGTGTGATTCATTTTGTTTAAAATTTTATTGTATCTTAAGTGAGGCTCAGATTATTTAATAAATAAAGATAAACCACCAGATAGACAGGGAATATTAAGGGGACACAACTTTTCAGAAATTCTGCTCTCTTTTCACAGTAAACACATTTTTTTTTGGTAGTGGAATTAGTCTTTTACCTTTTAATTACAATAGTAGTTTTGTGTTAAAGGTGCAAAAAGCAATAAAAAGTGTATGGGCAACTCTGTTATTCTTTAAGAAATTATCTTTGTGTTGATAAATATAAAACCAAATAAAAAAAACACATTTCATATATATATATATATATATATATATATATATATATGTGGACGTTAACAAGCCTTCATTTTCAAACCTAGCCTATAATTTAACCCGTTTTAAATTATTATAACCTTTTATCACTACGCTTCAATTGTATGGTCTATGTTGGAACTGAGTTTGAGCTTCCTAAGTTTTAGATATTTTTTCTTTCATATTAATACATTCTTGCAATTCATTCAATTCATTTATCTTTTAGGTGCAAAGGTCAGACAGGAAATATATGATGCCTTTGACAACATCTATCCCATTTTGAAAGGTTTTAGAAAGCACTGATCTATGGCTTTACATTATCTGCTGATCCTGTAAAAAGTTTATAAGATTATGTTATTGAATTGTTGACAGGAAAGATTAAAAATGTGTAAATACAAGTGGCAAATCATTATTCCCACCATGTGTAAAAGTTTTGTAAATATTGTTATGAATCTGGATGTTATGAAAGTGGGGAATATAAGTTTGAAGGCAGGATCTAAATGAATGTTTTTGTTGCAAGAAACATCTAGGAAAATTGGTGTCTACACACTGGTAATATCTCTAGCAATTTATGTCTACAGTTAGTGACACAGAGCAGAGCTTATGTTTTCATGAAATTTTGTCTTGAAAATTGTCGTGAGATGATGAATAATTATGCAAGTAATGTATGTGCAAATAATATTAAGCATTCTGATATTTAAAAAAAAATAACTGTTCTTGTTTTCCAATAAACTTGTTTTTTGTTAAAGTTTAAGTCAGATTTTTTCTTTCGTTTTTATGTCTTCAAGAATAACTTATACAACAAGTATAAAAAAGAAACAACTGAACATCATTTTTATTCTGTTTTAAAGTTAAAATTCCAAGTAAAATAGTTTCCATATTAAAAAATGAAATACAGCAAGTGGAAACATTAAGTTAAATACCAGTACCAAATTTAATCAAAACAATTTTTAAAAAAAAGTTTCAAAATTTTAATTAATTGGATAACATTTCAAGGTTTGTCATTATATAACAGTATTTGGTCTAAATGCTTCATCAATTCTAAAAATAATTATGTCTAGACCATTTTGAAGTCTGCAACTACAATAGGTCATGTCATCATTGATTCTTTGGTGGTGATGCAAATTTTTTCAAACAAAAAACACTCCATATAACACCAGCAGTTACAAGACCAACAATGGCATAATACATCGGCAAATCCTTTGGTAACTTTTGCCACACAAGTTTTCCATCATTTGCCTGAAATAAGAACAAAAATAGTTAAATAGTTTTTAAAATAAAGGCAAAGAAGCATTAATGTGGTTTTTAGTTTTAGAATGGGAAATCAATGAAGTCTCTTATTTAAATAAAGTTAAAGTATATTTCACCAGGTTATTTTGCCCAGTCATCTGCCGATATAACAAAATTATTATTTTCGACAAGTCCTAAGACAAAATCACATCACTTTTTTCACTGCCCAGCACTTTGGGACCATACCAAGATTTTACTAACAAATTATAATTAAGAATATACTAAGAGTAAGACCAACTAAAAAAATGCAAATGACCCAAAGACTACAGGTCTACAAGTTTAATAGCACCACTTTAAAAAAGTTCTTCAAAAAACAGTAAACTCTAAACATAAACTCTAAAATATGAGAATAAGAAAGTTGATTGAGATCTTATTAAGAAAATGAAAAAAAAATGTTTGTTGCTAGATTCGCAAAACTTGTAATAGTACTAAAAAATTATAAAGCCTTATGAGGCATCCTTTATTAACCCTTTCTGCTGTAAAATATTGTATACCCTGTCCCTTATGACTGGGTGTATCACACCCATAAACTTATACTTATATCACAGTAATTGGCTCTTTTTGTGTTATTTTCTTTTTTACAATGTGGCATGTAAACTCACTCCCTGCACAGATCACTTAGTTTCTTCCATTGTACATTGATGAAAAATGATACAAACAATAGCTGACTGCGCCAACAGTAAAGGTGAGAAAGTAAAAGGAAACAAATGGCAAGGGACTGATGCGATCTAAATGAAAGCTTTTATTTTTATTGGCTGCTTACTACACACTGGTGCTCTTCACCTCAACAGCATTTCAGTTTCAGTGGAATTTTTATTCAGCCCTGTTGATGGAAATCCTCTTTAGGGCAGCATTTTCAATGAAGAGATACAGCAAGCTTCTGATTCATACTGGCCTTGACAAGGAAACTAGATCAATCCTTTCTGGCTTGTGACATCTTTGCTCCCATAAGAGATGTATGAGAAGCATTCCTGAGTAATTTGGAAAGGTACTTTGTTCCTGGAGAGAACATCTCAGGGGGTGAGCAACAGGTTGGTTTCAGAGGTCAGTGCAGATTTATTCAATATATATACCAAGAAAGCAATATGGAATAAAAAATCTTCTGGGCCTGCGAATCGTCTTCAAACAGAGGCTGCCCAATCTGTGCAAAGAAAATGCAAGTGCCCTGCCAGCAAAGAGAAATGTTGGAATATCCCCAGAAACTGATTTCTCTCACAACAGACTTCCGTGGAAGTGGACGCAATTTCAGAACAAACTTACCCTAGTTAGAACATTGAAACGGAACACGATGTTCCTACCCAAAGGGTTTGAGCAAAAGAAGGCTCTGCCCCTCAACAAATCAGTGTTTTTGTTCAGACTAGAAACAATCTTGTCAAATACCAGAGCTCGAAGCAGAAAAATGTATTGCTCCTGAACACAATACACAATCATCCAGATATAGAAAGTGGAACGAACTGAATGCAAGAAACCAGAGATTGTGCTCTAAAATCAAAGGAGGCATATTCGCCATGGACCAAATGGCGAAGGTGTTTTCTGTGAATACAAAAAAAGTAAAAGTTGACCTTTGGTTGTGTTTTTCAAAATTGTTGAGTTGGCATCAATTGGAGCAACAGTGGCACTTAAATATAAATATCCGACCAACTCACTGTCCCAAGAAGAAAGCAGACAGTCAATATTGACGTTGCACATTTCCTCACCCCTCCGCAAGTAGAGACAATCCATCCCGACACACCAAGATATTGTGAGGCAGAACATCGCCAGTGTTTGTAAATCTTTACAAACACTTCAAATACTACTTCAAATAGCTGCCAAAATCACTTTAACTCAGCAAGTTTTTTTAATTAGACATATTTGCATAGAAACATTCTGTTATTTTATGTAAAAACAGTGCAAGCTGAGCTGCAAAGCTCCTATTTTTCATGTGACTGTTTTGAAATGGTTGGTCAAGTTGAATGCAAGGTATTATTGTGGTACCCAAATGCATTTAGAATATTTATTTATTGTCAAAATTTAAACACTATTTTATAGATTACACAGATTCAAATATACAACAAACAAGCAAACAAAAAATGTTCAAAAGCCAGTTTAGACATTTTTTTATTCTATTAAATTATGCACGGGTGTTACACCAAGTTGCTAGAGACTGGAAATAAAGTTTAGGCCCAAAAAAAAAAAGTCACTTTCACATGCTTTATACAATGGCATCCACCAAGGTCTTCATTCCAACTACCTTGTGGATTAGGTAGAGTATGACTTGAAAAGTGACTCGAGATAGCAATCACAGACTGTTTCCAGGTGTATTACACCCAGTTGCAGCGGAAAGGGTTAAGAATTTTTAAGGCCAAAATTCCTATAAATACAGATATTTTTTTTAAAAATCCCATCATTTTGAAAGACACTATTACTATCATCTTAAAAATATTTAAATAACAAATTTTGCTTCTGGTGTGTCCTGTTTCCTCTTCACAGCCAGCTCTTCCCCAACTCCACATGTTTTAAATTAATAGTATAGTATTGAGTGAAAAAGAACAACTGTCACACACCGAGATTTCATAAGTGACGTCTGAACTCCATTCAGGTTGACTTTTTCTTTAGGGGAAGGTGACTATTAAATTAATCAATAAAGATCAAGGGTATGGTGTAGGACTGGTGTAGGCCTATTGTTTAAAGGCAAGCATATATTATAGAAAAATGAGACAATAACTTTTTTTGTAACTCTTGGACCCATGGGTATTTTCTCCAAATAACCGGACCTGGTGAAAAAAACTGCCTCTGGTTAAGCCCTAGTTTTCTAATAAATTAGTTCAGTACCCCTGTAGCATATTTGAGAATAAAGAATTAATGAATATTCAATTTGAGCTCATGTTATCAACTCAACTACAATAAGGAGCTGAAAACCTCAATATCTATTCATTATAGTAAATTATCTTATTATGAAAAGTAGCAATAAGGTCTATTTTGATTTGATTTATTCAAAATTTATTGTTATTAATGATCCTGTGGCAAAATCAGTGCATGTTAGAAGACATAACACAAAGTAAAATTGAATAAATGTTTTAAAAAGTTATTTAATAAACTATAATTCATATAATTACAAATATATTTAATTAAAAATGAATTTTAAGACAAATTACCGTTATTTTAATTGATTGCAAATAATATGCTGTAAAATAGTGCATCAAATGACCTTAAAAGATTTATACCAATAATTCATTGAAGTACGTTAAAAAACTAAGGAGATTCACATGAAATTTCTACTCCAAAATACCATACAAATAAAAAATGAAATTACTCCCATTTTGCCAATTTTTTTAATTGTTGCATGTCATGTGTCAAAATAAATACAGATACATCGGGGAGCTGTTATGCATGGCTGTGATAAAGAAAATAAAATTAATTTTCTCTATCTAAAAGAAATAATGCTCTTACAGAAAATAAGGATTGACGTTCCATGAGTTTGATATAGTTGGGTGAGTTTGGCACTAGATACTGTCCAGGCTTTAAATCTGCAACCTGGGATGATACGCGTCGAGTTGCTGATAGGGCCTTAGCCTCCGTCTTGAAATCATAAAAGACATCTGGAGCTTTGACCAAACTTGTCGAGAATGCCTAAAATTTATAAAAACAAAGCAGATATTTCAACACAAGAGTTTTAATTTTACACTTTAAAAATTAAATATTTCATATATAGCTATATTATGTAAAGAGTATTGTTCGTTACAGTCCATCTGTCCCCTGTCAGCTCAATTGTGAGAGTATACACAATCTAGCAGTGGCCAACCTGAAGTGTGGAAAGTGGGGGATAAGTATCCAAGAGAAGCATTTGGAAACCTCAGACATCTTTTTCTAGGCTGTCACTTTTGAATTAATTTGACTGAGATTCCAAATAAATATTGTTAGATGGAAAACATAGCTTTGCATAGTTGTCTTCTTTCCCATCAGTGAAATTGTAGTGAGCAAATAGACTTTTCTACCACTTTGAAAGCACACCCCCCCCCTCTCCTTACTGAGCTATACACACCATGCTCAAATGCTAATTCTTCTGTTACTTCAAAATCACTTTTTGACCCCGCAGGCTGGGATAAACTGAAGTTGCTGGCCGAATATGGCCCGCAGGCAATAGTTTGCAGACCCCTGCTCTATGACTCTATGTCATCTCCAATGTTGTAGGATTTAGATTTAGGCTACAGTCTACACCAAGGTTTCACAAACTGCATTTCACAAATTTCAAGGTGGTACGAGGTGGCATTTTACATGGGGTGTGAGGAAAAAGTGATTGTAAGAACAGAAGAACTATTGATTTTTATCTAAAGATTTAAATGCTTACAAATTTTGTAATTTCTTCACTAACATTTTGCTGTATGTTATAGATTCTATGTCAAAAGTTTATTTTCTTAGTTTCTGGTTCTTTTGGTAAGTCAATAAAAACAAATTGAAGCCCATTTTTTTGTTGCAACGTTCAAATAGTTGATACGTTTTAGTGGGTGCTAGATTTAGTCAAAAGTTATCTTTTTTAAATTGCTGTTTTGTTTTAGACAGTGTTCAGCAAGCCAGACCAACCAAAGTCAAAACATACTGTCATATAGTGCGGGCACTTTCTAACGAAAAGTATTTTATTTGATATTTGAAAATTATTGCAGTTCTGAGGCTTACATACAGACAAGACAGGAGAGCTTTGAAGACAGAATATATGAAGTACATGATTTGTTTGTATGCTAAATGACTAAACTTAAAGTGAATTAAATCAGTAGACAGTAGTGAGTAGACCAAGTAGTATCATACTATCATATGACTATGACTATTAAGACCATTACTAACTATAGGTACTTGGATATGAGGCTGTTTTGAAGCAATCGGGGCCCATAGGGTTTTGAGACGCTTTTTTGGATGTTCTGGATGATAGGGTTCACTAAAAAATTATTTTTTCCCGCTAGACACGTCGGATCAACGAACGAATTACTGTTCTAGTTACGTTAATGAACAGGCTTTAACGACATCCATTTTGTTTTCAGTAATATCAGTATGTCGTAAATAAAAAGAAATGTGAGAAAGCAGCTAAGTCTCATTTATCAATATTTTGAAAACTATTCGTTGTCCCATTTTAAATCGACCTGGTGTACCTGTAAAATTGTATCAAAAATGACCATGTCGAATTTCAAGTCTCTAAGACCACAAATACATTGTTATTTTTGGCCATAATGGGTGTCTAAAGCTGAACAAAAAAAATGGCTGATAACGAAAGTAATGAACAGGAAACAGTATTATTTATGACTAGTTGACAGATAAGAAAGCTAAAGACATTTTGTAAATCTTAAACCAATCAAGTTCCATCTTAATTAATATTAGGTTTTATTGTAATATCTATACAAATAATAGACATATTAACAAATATTTTCAAATTAAATCATCATTTTTATTGTAAAATTGCCTCTATTATATTTCCTGTTTTAAAATAAATTACGTTTGGTCTTAATTTTTTAAAATTATTTTTTAAATTTTTTGGTAAATGTTGAGAAAGCTACCCGGGGTTTCCGTCATTTTGTTTCACACAACCAGTTAATTCTGTCACTACACCTAAACTAAATCGATCCCTATGCCTAAACTGAACCCAAAATTGATCCCTATGCCTAACAATGTTTCCTCTAAGGTTTGTTGGTTCGTGTGCAAAAATCATAAAATTGTGTGCAAATTTTTACAGCATCAATTTTTTTTTGTGTGCAAAATTTAACAGCCTACAGACAAAAACACACACTTAAGGGGAAATTAGCTGCGCGGTATCTGTGAGATTGCTGTGCGGCCGCGCAGCCTAAAGGGAACATTGATGCCTAACCTGAACCCTAAATCGATCCCACAACTTAACCTAAACCCTTATTCACTGCAACTATAATAAACATGCAAATGACGTCATGGGTATGATTCTCAACAATAGCCAATTTTTAAAAAAAAGTTTTTTAATGGCATTAAAAAATATTTTTAAAGTATTCTATTAAATTATTTTAGTTTTTAAAGCAACAAAGATGTTGACAATACGATGATGAACACTTCTGGTAAGTTTCATATTATTTGTCCACTCTGCTATACTATAAAGACAACTTTAATAAAGTTATGAGCCTTTTTGTACATTTTTTTTGAAAAGTGGTCACAAATCTTTAACTCTATGTTAAAAAAAGTGATCTTTTATTCACAAAAAAAAATTATAATTTGTTAATAATGTTGACCAAAAGTGCTACGTGAAAAATGAAAACATATTATGGCTAAAACCGAGGACGGCTGCCACGCATCTTTTGGGTATTGTTCACGTTCGGTAGTCACTTCCCTTGGTTTATTTTTAGAAATGTTGTTTTTTCTTAATTAATGTAGTAGTGTTCATGCGCCAGAGGAATGTTTAATATTTTATTGTTTTTGTTAATAAAGCAGTGGCGGATTATGTGGAAATTATGTTTGGAAATTTGAGAATGTTCGAAATATTGCTGAAAAATAGATAAATTATTTTTTTTTATCTGTTTCTTTAACATGATGCGGATATAGAAAGGAGTGCTTAAATATTACGTCAGTTACCGCCATCGCGGTAAGTTAAAATTTTTCTTCTTTTCTTTGTATCTTCATGTTGTGGATATTATTTTCGGTGAAACCTGAAATAAAGTGTGTATAAGTGTACGGTATTTCATGAAGCTGTAAGTTGGGTTTTCATTATTTCTTCTTTATTTTATAATCATTTTAGGCCATTTCTCTTCTTTTTGTTCATTTTCCTAGTTTTCCTGCCACAGCGTGTAAATTCCACGTGTTTTTACTCGCAGCTTTAGGGCTAGTTTTAGGGATCGATTTAGGATTCAGGTTAGGTTTAGGGATCGATTGTTTTCTTATTACATATATATTGTTAAATTGGGGAGGGGTTCTGGGGAGGGGTCTGTTTCTTAGGTTTTTTTTAGGTTTTCAAGTGAGTCCCCACTCCAACTAGAAGATCACGCCAAACGCAATTTAATTCACGTGTCTCCCTGTTTCTTTCCTTTCATTTTTATTCTTTTTTTTTTAATGACCACATTTTCTTTTGGTCTCTATTTTTCCCCCCCCCCCCCCCCCCCCCATTTTCCCTTTTTCATAACACCTGTTTTGCACTACTTTTTGGCCGCTTCACGTGTCGTGGCAACCAAGATGGCGGCCATCAATAAAAAAGTTGCAGGCGTCCCCAACGTTTACCCATATTATTACTTCAATTTAACAAGGGCTATCTTACAGATGTGTTAATTTCTTAATTTGTTCAATTTGAAAATTTTATCCAAGTGGGACCAAATAGGCATACCTACTACTACTATTAATATTTAAATAAAATATTATAGTATTAGACATTATCACTATGACTATATTTAATTTATAGTTTAGTTATTATTATTATTAAATAAATATTAGGCCCATCAATTAGGCCTATTCTTTAGGCTTAGGCCTACATTTGATTATACTATACTATACATACAATAGTCAATATTATAGTCAGATATTTTGAGAAATAACTCATAATCATAAGATAAGGACCTATACTATAAAATTATACGTTTTTACAAATATAAAATTGATAAATTATTTACTTGAGGTGTTATTGGGCGACCCATAGCGGCATCTTGAGGAGCAGCATTTAAATTCTGAGTAATACCGTTGAATTTATAGTAAATTGTCATTGTTGTTATCGTTATTTTTTTTGCTTCAAGGACAAAATCGAAAAGGCTCAAGAGTACCGCCCCCTGATAACGCAAAATCTCGTTTATTTGAAATATTCGTAAAACAGAATCTCAGAGGCAATGTGCGATACTTCTATCAAAGTATTGTATGACTTTTTTTTTTGTGCGATGGAAAGTTGTTTTCACATTTTCTTTAAGAGGTGGAGTGGGGGAGCGGTGACGGGATGTGCTGTCATGCACACAATATTATTTGGAACATTAAGTTAAGTGGAGAATAACGAAATCCTGAATAAGTGCCCTAATATTTGTAACAAAATATGGCCTACAGGAGAATCGCCCAAACCATCGACCCAATCACTCATCGTCACCCTCCCCAAAAAAGGTAACCTACAGCTATGCCAAAACTATCGCACAATTAGCCTAATAAGCCATCCAAGCAAGGTCATGCTGAAGATCATATTGAATCGACTAAAACCATATGCCGACAGAATCATTGCTGAAGAACAGGCGGGTTTCAGACAAGAACGGGGCACTACTGAGCAGATTCTAAACCCTCGAATACTATGTGAGAAATATGCTCAACACCAACAAAATCTATACCAAGTCGTCTTTGTTGACTTCAAGAAAGCATTTGACAGGGTTTGGCATGCTGCTTTATGGGCCACCATGAGGCACTACAACATCAACACAAACCTAACCAGCATGATATGCAACCTCTATGATAAGGCCACCAGTGCAGTCTTCCTCAACAACAACATCGGAGAATGGTTCAAGACAATGGTTGGAGTACGACAAGGCTGCCTGCTCTCCCCACCCTATTCAGCATCTTCCTAGAGAGAATTATGCCGAATGCTCTGGAAGCACATGAAGGGACAGTCAGCATTGGTTGCAGAACAATCATCAACCTACGCTTTGCGGACGACATAGACGTGCTGGCTGGGAACGAAGAAGAGCTAGCCGACCTGGTAAAGCGTCTCGGTAAGACTTCGTCGTCCTACGGCATGCTAATCAGTGCCGAAAAGACAAAACTGATGACAAATAAAACCACAGGCATCACCACTGAAATTAAGGTCGGGGAGGAAAGATTAGAGACTGTCGGCCACTTCAAATACCTAGGAGTAATAGTCTCAGAAGAAGGCTCCAAGCCCGAACTGATGTCAAGGGTTGCACAGACTACAACAACACTAAAAAAGCTCAAGAAAATATGGAATGACAAAAATATAGCCCCCAGCACAAAAATCAGGCTGATGCGCTCATTAGTCCTCTCCATTTTCCTGTAAGCCTGCGAATCCTGGACATTAACAGCCGATCTTGAAAGGAAAATAAAGGCGATGGAGATGAGATGCTTCAGAAGCATTTTCGGCATCTGCGATAGAGATTATATCTCCAATGATACAGTGAAAGAAAGGGTTCGTCAGGCAATTGGGGAGTACGATGGCCTACTGGTGACTGTGAAAAATGCAAACTACAATGGTACGGCCACGTAAAAAGGAAACAAGGGCTTGCCAAAGAAATATTGCAGGGCACCACAAGAGGAGGGAGAAGAAGAGGAAGACAAAGAAAAAGGTGGGATGATAACATCAAAGAGTGGACAGGACTAACACTGGAAGATGCAGTGCGTAGTGTTGAAGACAGAGAGGAATGGAGGAGGATGGTTCACGTGTCATCTGTGGCGCCGCAACGGTCCAAGGACTAAGGGACATGAGGATGAGGAGGAAAGAAATCCTGGTATTAAAGAATGAATTTAACATTATTTGAAACAGTAAAAGAAATCAGCCCCTAAGGCTTACAGTGACTTAGATAGAGTTTGTCATGCCCATCCAGCCCTTGATTTTGTCGACCCTAATGGATATGAAGTGGACCCAAAAGAAATAACAGTAACACCCATGGGCGAACCACCCCTCCTTTATTTACCCGTAAGCCCCATTATATGTTGGGTTTCACTCAAATTGTAAAACATTCTGCCCTAGATCCTAGTCCAAAACCATATTTTTTCATTCACGCAATGCACAACTGAAATTTAAATATAGACGCGAAAGGCAAACTTCATTTTTAAAAAAAAATACGTTATTTATTTAAACTCATTTAGCTCGTTATTAACCTCACCCTTCATGGCAACAAATTTGTAGAAACATGCCTATATTTATGATGGCCCCCTTCATCCCTTGTAATAGTAATGTAACTATTTTTCACACCTGGATGCTACTTAAAGTAGCACACATAGCTCAAAACAGACCTAATCATATAGGCTAAATTTCGACTAAACTGAATTAATTATTGTATTTATAAAAGGCGACTTAATTTTATAAAGAAATTGAGGGAAAATGCGCACGGAGCCAAAAATGAATACAGTTTTTTATTGAAAAATTGGGATATTATTAATATTGGGGAGACTGCCTTGAAACTTTGTTATTTCGGGAATATTAAGATGACAATAACATGGATGTTCCGGTGGACGGACAAAAGCCTTCTTCAGTCTTCAACAAACAGAACAATATTAAGCATAAAAAATAACGTTGCTTAGGGTTTGCGTGGGAAAAAAAAAGAAAAAAAAAAAGCAACAAAGGATAAAGTACTTAAATTCAATTTTTTGAAAATGTATATTACTTTTTTTAAAAAGAAAGTATAAAAAATCTTCGTCTTTTCAATGATTTAAAGTCATTATATTCTATGTCAAAGAACATTAAAAATAAGCTAATTGGTTTTAGTTAAAGGCAAATTATTCTTCAAAAGTAATAAAAAATATTCAGCTATTTATTAAAAATATGTCAAACAAAACAAGTTTATAGTGGTCACTTCGATACTTCGTCACACTGTAATCGTCTACTTTTAAATACTTACGTATTAATGGTATCGAGCCTTTGTTGAAACGGACATATAGTGTTGTTGTCGTTGCTATGCGAGGTTGATGCGAGGGAATAATATTTGTTGTGATTGTTACCTGCTGATGGTAGGTCCGTAAATATATACAATCGTTACGAACATTAATTAAAATTACATCAAAATGAGTTACATAAACCTAGGAAGAGACAGCCTACCGGCAATTAACTCAGCAAGAAGAATAAAAAGTCTTGAAGAAGAACTGCAATGGTACAGATCGAGAGAAAGTGGCGGTGTTACAACAAGTGGACGCATGACGCCGGTGGGAATACTGAAATATGATAATAAGTATGAGGGAAATGAAACCCGTAGACAGTTGAATGAGGTAGGTTGTTATATATATTTTTTAAAGTTTAACATGACATACCTAATGCCAAATAAATAAATATCATAAGACATGACATAAGTCATTAAAATAATTAAAATAATAAATAGTTACTCATGTTAAAGTTACAACACTAGTAACTAGCTTTCACACTTTCAGTCAGCAAAAGTGTCAAAAGAAACATCTAGGCTACACAATTAAAATAATTAATAAAATTGGCAATATAATATAATATCTAATAAATTTAAACTAGGTCACACGTTTATTATTGATTATTTTTCATAAGAAATCTTAAGTAATTGACTAAATATAAAACTTTAAAAGGTAGAATTATGTTAGATCTACTCAATATTTATTTCATATAGCCTATATTTGAAAACATGCAGCCTTATCTTATTCTAGTTTATACAACTTATTTTAAAGGGAACTTTTTATTTTCAAGCTTCAAGATCAAGTCAAATCATTCCGTGATGAGCTGAAAAAGAAAGACAGTTTAATTCAGCACCTTGTGAGTTTGGAGTCAGCACCAAAAGTTCCACGTGCTCCTGATTCTTACAGGGTAAGAATAAGAAAAACTAAATATTGCAGAATCAAACAAAAAAATGTTATAACAAGTTATTATTGTTAAAAAGGTTAAAAAAATTATTATTTTTTTTACAAAGGGGTCGTCCATTAATTTACGTCAACAAAATGGGGGTGGGGGTGGGAGGGGGGTTTGGAAATGTTTGACAAGGTGGAGGGGTGGGTTACATGGGACCCGGGTCCGAATGGTGGCGCTGTGTCCGGATAAATTTTTACTAAATGCTATTCGGATGTGGTAGTTTATTTTAATTAAACTGAAGAAGTAAGTTTACAAACATATAGTCCATTCAATTATCTTTCATTTGATACCTCATTTTGTCTTATAAACCTAACAATAATATTTGAAATAGTTTTTTAATCCCAACCTCTCACTTCTGGTACCTGGGTGCGTATAGCCACTTCATTTTTTTAATGTGTGCACTGCTGATGGCTGGTCAGAATGTTAGCACATTTATTTAATGCTAGAGAAGTCAAAAGTTGGCCTCTCTTCGACTGTAGATTCTATTTGTCGCAAATGTCTAGGGCGGTATGTTTGTGGTCATGTTGCAGGTATGGAACAAGGACAAGGTTCAAGAGTCATGTGCAGTCAAGATAAATGATATTGATAGAGTAGGAATAAAATATTTTTAGAATTAGAGGAAAGGGAGTAAAAATAATAACATCGCTGCTGAACGGATTTTCAAAATCTGTTACATCTATTTTGCATCACAAGTCATGTTGAAATAGCAAGTTCAACAGCACAGACAGTGCATAAGATATTACCACTTGCTCCTTAACAAAAAAGAATTTGACTAATGCCAGGAGACAGAGAGAGCTTATGGCAATTATTGCTAACACTGAAAATGCTTCTATTGTAAGTGCTAAATGGTTAGATGAGGCTGATGTTGACTTGTCTGGTACATCATCTCTGCAAGATAAAAATGATAAATCAGCTACTATGCCCATTGCTACGATAAAACAACAGCTGGTTACTCCCTGGGAGGACGGTAGCAGCTAGAAACTATGCTACAATTGTCAGCTATGCTGACAATAATCATATTTCTACTTCCACAAACAAAGATATTTAGTCTTTAAAACCCTTGTCAATGATTCTTCATTATATAATTTAAGTGTAAAAACTTTTAAAATTATTAATTAACAAGCTAAAGATGCAATGAAATGATTTTCCTACCAGTTTGTGTTATTAAAATAGATACTCACAAAGTAAAATGTATTTATATATTTATTTATATTATAATTCATTTTGTTTTGGGGGGTGGGGTGTATATTAATGTTAGCACAATTACTGGGGGGGGGGGGGGTCCCGGAAAGTTTGAAAGTTTTTGACAGGGGGGATGAGGGGGGGAAAAAAGCCACGGGGGGGGGGTGGTTGTCCATGAGCTTGACAGTTTTTGACAGGGGGGATAGAGGGGGTAAAAAATTGCTTAAAATTTGTTGATGTAATTAATGGACGGCCCTGAAGACCTAATTTTAGGAAAATATATTTTTGTTCACATGTTTATTTTTTTTTTAGCTGGACAGTTTGTACCTTGGGGAAAGATCAGCTTTAGATTTGACAAGGAGTGAGCTTGCGGCTTTACAAGTTAAATTTGAAAGAGCTCAAGCACAGGTACTTTTTAAAAATATATTTTTTCTTTGAAAAAAAATATCTTCAATCACTTATTATAATCATCCATGATATAATAATACTGAATAAACTGCATTATTGTTTTTAAATATTTTTGGAAAAAATTATAATACTCTTAAAGCCTTGCATCATTACTAAAACAATCCTATACTTTGATTTTATATAATTCTATTTCATTTAGTTCCTTAAGCATAATTTATAAAAGCTGTATTAATTCTTTCTTGTTTAAAAAAAAAATAAAATAGATTCACGATCTCCAAGGGGAATTGGAAACCAAAGACATAAAAATTAAAGAACTTCAACACCTTCTAGATACAACAAGAGGCACAGAAACCAGATTGGGAAACATGGTGGCATCACTACGAGAAAAACTTGGAGAGTATGAGTCACGGGCAGGATCCTATGAAACTGTCGCTAACCGAGGGGAATTCACAATAACAGCACTCCAACAAGAAAACAGGGAATTAAGTGACAAGATTTTGGAACTTGAGCAAAGGCTTAGGTGAGATCTGGGGGATTTTAGTATGTAAATAATTCATAACACAGTAAGAGGAAAAGAAACTGAACCCAATTTTTAGTTTTGGTTAGTTTTTATTTTGTGAAATAATTTAATCTTAAGTCAATTATCTCATTGTTTACAAAGATAAAACATAATAATCAAGAATCAAATGATTTGAATAGTTGCTATATCAAAGAGCAAATCAATAAAGGCACTACTAAAATTCTTTGTTTGTAGAAAATAATACATTAATATATATATATAAATTAAAAAAAAAATCTATGCTCATTACTATGAATGAGTGAAGTAAAGACTGAAAGAAATACAACGAACACAGTACGAGCACAAAAATAGTTTTTAAAAAATTAAAGAAAAATTTATTAAATCTAAATTTAAATTATATAGGAAAACCTTTTGAGCTCTAGATATACCCATTTCTCCCATTTTTTCCACATCTAAAGAGATAAATTGAGTCCACAAATCGTCAAAATATACTCTGTATGTGAAGTGGATAAGATGTAAAATTTCATGTATGAAAATTGCAAACAAGTACAAAATTAATGTATTTACTCAGTTGAAACCTCATTTTATTATTATTTGTTTCTAGTTTTTACCATTAAGTTCTTCAAACTCTTACAATTTCAATGAAATGGAATAAAGTATGATTGAAATGAAACTTTTTTGGATTAAAAAATTTCACAGAGATAATAAATAGATGATGATTTAATGTCTAAATGGTGTATTTGAATGTATCTTCAGAAAACAATTGGAAAACCGTGAAGAATCAGAGTCCAGACTGATGACTGATAGCAAACGACTCAACGATCTCCTCGGGCAGATAAGGAGCTTGTTTTATACAGATGATATAGTTGATGCCTCCCCAGCATCTATTGACATTATTATGCACAAGGTAAATAACTCTCTATTTTTTTTGGATAGTCTTCTCCATATCCTTTTAATTCACTATCCTCTCTATGACTCACTCTTAATATAGTAGTATACCTTTTGTTAATTTTATATTGGAATGAATGTACTGGGAAAGTTCACGTAATACATATAACACAAGTGTACTTTTACCATTATGTATGCCAAATATGTTAAAAACATAGTTAAAGAGTTTTTTTAACCAGTATATGGATATGGAACCAACTTGTTTGCTCATTTTGTTATTTTCAAGTATTTGTTTGAACATATTTAAGGTCTAGTATGCCAGATAAAAAGATATCACTGCCGTTTGCATACAAAATATTTTTCAAAGAATGCATTGATGTTGCAAGTTTGTTTTTTGCAAATGAAAAGAAAGAAGAATGAGGTTTGTAAGTGTCTAAAAAATGATTTTTTTGCCTTAGTTGAACCAATCACCTTAGTGAATTGAACTGGTTGATACTACTTAGTATATGACATAAAATTGATTGTATAATTTAAAAGAAAAAATAAGAGGCTCTAGAATTAATATTTTTACTCATATTTAATGAACTTAACGAGATTGATTTCTATACCAGTTCAAATTTCTTGTCCCAGTCCAAATATTTGCTCCCTTATTTTAGTAGGTTCCTGATGACCCATAATGTATAATCTTTGCCTACTTCCTTTGTGTGGAAGATATTTTAATCTTTCAAAATTTTACTTTTCTTTAATAAATGCCTTATTTAAAAAATTCTTGACTTCCTTTTTTTTTGTACCAAAATTTAAAAATTTAATATTATTTAATTCTGAAAAGAGTTTGTTTTTTTCCCCCCATAAAAAGCTGAATGACCTTGTCCAAGAGAATGCCATGCTGAAAGGAAAGATTATGACCATGAATGAGCACTTAAATGAGACACAGCTGGAAACGAAGGCCAGCAGGGAAACAATAATGAGACTTGTATCCGAAGTAGGCCGTGAGCAAAAAGTTGCCACCAGGTACACTTCAGATATTGAAAATCTTAGACTGGTAAGTACTTCTCTTTATTCATATTAGCTCATTTAAATATCAGACTGTTTAAATTATAGGTTTCAAATGTAATCACGAAAATTAATGACTTAACTAGGACTTATATAGCAAAATTTATGAGAAATAGATTGTGATTTTTGCCCTTAGTACATAATAGGAATAAAGATTTAATAATCCTTGTCAAAGGAGAAAAAATAAAATGAATAATTCATATTTTTCATTCCATCTCAAAATATTTTAAATTAACTTAAGCACATCATATCCAAAAGCACTATAAAAACTTTAATTTTTTCAAGTGATCTGAAATTTTAATCAACATTCAATAATAATACCCTGAAAATAAAATTCCAAGCTATGACCATTTTGTAGCTTATTGACCCCATTACATGGGGAACACAAACATAGAAACTATTTTACAAAATTATAAAAATTGATAGTTATTGATTTTTTCAAATTCATTGAAACTAGGCGTTTTCAAAGAAAAAATATAATGTAAAATACATGCATCACTCAATTAAAAAAATTGATTATGACCTGCTTTTAGTGTGTTCATGTTTAATTGATTATGACCTGCTTTTAGTGTGTTCATGTTTAATTTTGATGTTTAGATCCCCTAATATATTTACATTGTTTTAATGTGCAGGAGAGAGATAATGCATTGGCAGCTCGACATGATTTGGAGCGTGAGATTGAACTTCTCAAAGAGCGCCTGGATGCCAGTCATAGGGCCTTGGAAGCTACCAGGAATGAACTCCAGCTAAAGGAGAGCAGGTTCAGCTCCCTTGACAGAGATTTACGTGAGAAAGCCCACAACATTCGTTCGACAAGCACCCAGTTTGACCTTTTCCGTGAGCAGCTGGCCAATTTCTTGAGCACACCCCAAAACAATGTTAATCCTTCTGAAGATAGTGTCAAAGAAGCTGTGAGACGCCTGGCAACAGATAGGAAAGAACTTAGTATGGTGAGCTGGTTAAAAGGTTCTAAACATTATGGGAGAAATAATTTGGTTGATAGCATTTGATTTTGGGAAGTGGGTTCAGATTTTTTGTGAATCAGTTTAGCGAATCAACAGACGCATAAAGTCCTACTTTTAATACTTTTCTTTATCTGAGGCTAAAATGTGGATATTAACTCTTTTGCTGCGGAATTTTTTTTTAATGAAAAAATGTACACTTTTTTTTCAAAGAGCGAACATGAGTGAGAGGTTGGGTCTATTAAAAAATATTAAAAATATTAATGTTTGATTTATAAGGGTAAATTTGGCATCAAATGAAAGATAATTGAAAGGACTATATGTTTGTAAACTTATTTCTTCAGTTTAACTAAAATAAGTAACAGAAAAGAAACGTAAAATGTTAAAACATGATATGCAAAACCATTTTTTCCCATACCTATGATGTAGGCAATGATCATCATCACTGCTATAATTCAAATCATCTAAAACTACTACTATCAGAATCATGTGTTGGATCTAAGTACTTTAAATCAATAGAAATATTTATTAACTTAGTTTTCTAAATGTCGTTCTTCAAAAATGTTCTGCCTCTTTTTTAAGACCACTCCAAATTACAGCCAAATTTTAATATTAATTTAAAATTTGAAAAACTGAGGTTTTACTGGTTTACAAATTAAAGAAGAAAAATATACCGTTTGCTTAAGAAAAAACTGATGAAGCATTTATACTTATTTTCAACAAAAATTTATTCCTGTTTTTTCAGCGCCTGGAAGAGTATGAGGGACGGGTCAAACATTTGAGTGAACAACTTGACCATGAACTTAGCATCCACCGAGACATGGCTCAGCGAGCCAAGAGGTTTGAGGTTGAGGCAGCTGATCTTGCAGAGAGATTGCGAAGTGCAGAAGGTGAGCTTTCTGCTGGTGATTGCCTAAGGGATGGGTTCAAGTTTGATAAGGAAAAGGTAAGTTGCTATAATTTGCTAAATGTACAAAAAATTTAATACCATTTTCATCATTGAATTTTCATTTTTCGTTTGATTTTTTTTTTTCATCAAAATAATCTAAAAATTCCCATTACCCATTTAAGTGATAAAAATATCAAATTGATAGGAATAGAAACACATTTTATTTAAATTATACAAAATTCAATATTTAAAGTGAAAAAAAATAATTTTTCTAGTACTTGAGAGGTCTACAGAAACTTGGTGAAATTATGAAAATGGATCGCATTTCCCTTGACCTTGGTCTTGACCTTACAATGGACGCACTTGTCGCCCGTGCTGAACAGTTAATGAAACTTGAGGCTGATGCTCTTGCTGATAAGTCAACTCATGTGTACAATCTTCAACGCAAGGTTAGTGTGGCCAGCATATTACGAACTCTATCTCTTGTAAATATGGAGCTCTCAATATATACTAATATTTGAAAAAATTTTCAAAAATGTAAGATTGTAAAAAATGCACAGTATATCCATTTGTTAATAACCTTGAATATATTTCTTTCTTGTATTTTTAGTTGAAATCCCTCAAGGAGCAACTGGAGAGCAAAGATCTCCACATCGACTTGCTGAGAAAGAAAATGACAAATCTTGAAGAGCGTGTTCATGGCAGGATTGACATTGAGAAGCAACGTGAGTCTGAAAGTATCAGAGTTCAGAAGCTCGAGAAACTGGTTGAAAAATATAAACTTCAGCTGCAAGACTCAAGACATGAGGTCCAAAATTTAAAAGCTCAATTACTGGGATCTGGGGAACTCAAGGTACAGGAGTTAAGGAAATCAAAGATTATATAATTTAAATATAATCGCATGCATTACTATTTGTTCAAACATGATTGTAGTTTTTTTTGTTTGTTCAGATTTGACTTTGAGTTTTACTGTTAGTTCAAATATGATTGTAGGATTTTACTATTTGTTCAAAATGACTGTAGTTTTTTTGTATTGATTGTTCAAATATGACTGTAGTTTTTTTGTATTTATTGTTCAAATATGACTAGTTTTTTTGTATTGATTGTTCAAATATGACTGTTAGTTCAAATAGGATTGTAGTTTGTTTTTACTGACTAATAAGTTGGTGAGTACTTAATGAATAAACTATAAATCTGTTTTTAATAAATAAAAAAAGGATTTAATCTAACTATGTTTATTGAATTAAATGTTTTTACTTAGAAAAAAAAAAGATATCTAAGACATATGATGAGAAAATATTATATTGATTTAGACCTAAGCAGTTAAGAAGTTTAAGGTGTTAAAGTAACTACATTTTCAAAATTATATAACAGTATAGGACTCAAAAGTAGTAATTAAAATTAAGCCATAAATTTTGTTTTTTAATATGAAATAAAGAAAAACGTAAAAACTATCTTAAAGCCTATAAGGCGTGTAACACATAACTCATATTAAAATTATTCAGGTCCGCACACTTGAGCAACGTAAAGACATTGAGGAGCTTGCAAGACAAATTGAAGAACTTGAAGAAGTGAGAAAACGACAATCGAGGAAGATTTTAGAACTGAAATCAGCTGTCGACAACAATGAGTCATCTCTGCAAGAAAAGAAAGTTGCTTCTGAAAATGCAGTTCAAGCCCTGAGCAGCGAATTACGGACCACAAAGAATGCCTTGGATACACTGAAATACAGAGAAAAACAGGTAAAAATGGCATTTTGTACCTATACTTTTAAAATACATGTTTTGTATTTAGAGAGACATAAGTAGATCTTCACAATACATATTATATGGTTGATTTATGTATTGATCTAAAAATAAAAAAGGTTTATATGCTCAAAGCAAAGACATCGCTATAAATGTTTGTGCATTTTGTTGTTATTGAATGAGTTATACATTCAATTGATTCAACATTTGTTTCTCTAAATGAAAAATTGTTTTATGTGCTATTGATTGGCTGAACAGAAAAAAAATAGTAGTAACTAATAAAATGACCATTGTCAACATACAACATTACTCGTAGTTTAACAGCTGAATATATATATATATAATGTATTTCTTCATTGTCAGTTGGTAGACTTCCGAACTGTTGTGGCTCGCATGCTTGGCCTTGACATCAACACCTTAGCTGTCCCTGATTATGAAATCATCACCCGTCTTGAGAAACTAATCCAAGCACATCATACAACAGCTTTCACAACTCTCTCCTTGGAGGAAGCTCTCCAGGATGTTGAGGATGGCAGTGCACAAGATTACCGCCGTGTCTTAGAGACTACAGATCCAGTTATTGCCAGATCCAGAGACAGGTCAAGGCGGAAAGCTGCAAAGTTACGGACCCGAGCACGGTCAGTGTCTCCTATGAGACGTGATCCCAGAGTTTATTAAATATTAATGTTTTCCTTATCCTCGAGTACAAATTGTGGTTTTGAAAATTCTTCCAAGAAAAGTAGCTACTTCATTTTTTGGGTGAGCTATCTTCTTAGATAAGCAAGACCACTCATTTTAGTAAATTAAATTGAGTAAATTTATGAATTAGGGAAAATTTGTGAGCCAAATAATAATTTTTACATCCTTTTGTGTACTAATAAGTAAAAAGGTATATTTTAAAAATGTCATGTTAATTTTTTTTAAATATCTCCAAAAATTTTGACAGAAAAACAGTGACAGATAATGTACAATTTCTTTGTGATAAGTGCTCTCAGACATATTCTTTAATGCTCATTGTCTCAGCTTTACACTATTTATAATATATATTTTTTTAAATTACTTATTATTAAAAATTTTTTATTGAAGGATATGATTTAAATAATGTTCCGAGTCATGGGTTACATTTAGTGACAAGAAATAAGAAATTTAAATCTTGAGGATTTTTTTTCTCTTAAGATTGTAGTTTATTTCCTCAGACATAAAAGAGGATTTTTAAACATTTTATCTTTTAGTAACAGTCCTGGCCATTTTTCAATCTGAATGTTTTGTTATAAAGCAAAAATAGAAAATGTTATAATAAAAATTCAATTAAGTGTTAACATGAAGGATGCGACGAGTCTTAATAAAATAACAACTTTTTCACCAAAATTTGGGTATTTGTCATTCTCTATTATGATATAAAGATTTAGTATTTCAGTCTTTTTAATTAATCGTTTTATTTTAGTTTTAATAGAGCATTTGACAATCTCAGAAATGTCATTTTATTGGTTATTGAAGAAACAAAAACATATCAGTTTTAAATATAGATAAAGTATTAATGTATTTACGGGGTTGATACTAGCCCCTTGTTTTACAACTGTGAGTGATATGACAATAGGGACTGGTTCCTTGTTATTATTTTTTTATATAAAAAATTATTTTTATTGGCCAAATACAATTAAATACATAATACAATAAATAATTAAAATAGTTTTAGACATTATGTAAATTATTCAAATATTATTTTTTATAACTTCTTTTTCTACTTTAATTAAAGTAACAAAATTATCAGTTATTTTAATGGATATTTATAAAGTACAGATAGGTGCAAAATTATTTTTAGAAATTGCATTTGTGAATATTTCTTTGATGTCTGTTGGATTATGTGTACATGTGATGATTTGTGGTCCATCAAGTCATTTTTAAAAAACCATATAAGGACAAGAGCTATTTTAAAAGACTCTGTATAACATTTTACTGAATAATTCATAATATATCAATGTTATGTCAAATTTGTGGTTCTGATTGAAACTGTAAATACAGAAACATTAACATTCCCTTTTAATGATTTATTATCATTTTTTGAGTGATTAAAACAATCTCAGGTACTGATTAAATAAAGTATAGTTTGGATGAAAAAAGTATCATTAAATAAATCGATAAATAAATAAATATGTTTGTTAAAGAAGATGAAATCAAATTTTAAAAAAGAACACTGTAAATTTGGTTAAGATTATTTTTTTTAAAAATTACAGTGCAAGCATTCCCTTTTTTAACTAAAGAATTTAAGTGGAAAGCTCTTCTTATTTGTTTTAATTATTCAGTTACCTTGACTTTACTTATTTTGTTTTTGTTACTGCAGCTATAGATGTTGAAATACCTAGAAGTGGCACATTTTATAGATACACACTGTCAACAAAGATACAGTTCAAAATCGTTTAGAAAAGCCAGACCATGTTCCACATTTGATAATACAATTCAAGAGGTTAAAATAATGATTTATTGTTAAAGAGATTTTCCATGTAAATTTTAAATGTTTTCAGACAACAACAAAAAATCAATCTACATTGATATAAAGATATTTATTTGCTAGGCTAAAAAAGTGACTTCAAAATTATATTCCATTGATTGGTTTTTTTTTGTTTCTTTGAATCAATCATAACTTTTGAATTAATGTAGATGTAAGTTTTACCCTTTTAAATAATATGTAGGCCTACTTTGTTGTAAAATTATCTGGAAATTTTATGTTCTTACCCTCTCTTTATGAGCCAAAATATGTTATAAAAATTAAATTCATTTGTTATCCATCCTTTTCATATGAATAAATAAATATGTCTACATTGCTTTCATCCATAAAATAACATCAGAAAACTACCAAATTATAATGTGCCTTGAAAAAAAAAGATCATTGGAAACATTTTTAGCTTGAAGCCTTTTAGATTGGATGAAACTACCCCAAGCACAGAAGTTAAAATTTTCATAGTGAGTCCGAAGAGCATTGTTAAAACTGAAGAAGAAAAATACTGTTGAGCAGAGTGTTATAATGTTGTTTGCCATTGTTCTTTACTTACAACTTATTGGTAAAAAATTTCTATATTTCTATTCTCAACTTTAACCAATGTTGTTATGTTTATTTTAAAAAAAATTAATTACAAAGTAACTGCCGTTTAAATTTCTACTTGTAAATAATGGAACCACCTATTTTTTTTGTTGAAAAGCAAAATTTTTGTTTCAACTTTTTCATAAGACTGCATATGTCAACAATGAAAATTATTCTTTAAAATAATTCTTTTTTAAGTGTTGGTGTTTTGAATCAAACAATAAACTATTATTTGCATTGTATCAAGTCCCTTACTACAGTAACCTTGAGCATAACTGAACAAACCTTAGAATTTTCAATTGAATAATATAATTAATTTGAATAATACGATTATAATAATGTCTTAGTTTATATCTATTTATATCTATCTATGTAATACTTTTATATATATATATGTTACGTACTGTAATATATATATTCAATCTAAATAAATTATTAATGTACTGTGAATCTATGACAACAATGAATTTGTGTATTGTGCATTTGTATTTGAATGTCTTAATTTCAGTTTCCTAACTCTTAAAATACAAACTTACATGTAATTTTAATTCTGATTTGATGATTTCATCGATGCCTATATTCTTTATGAATGATAACTTTCTTTCAATCACCTACCAATAAAGTTTATTATAACATTTTTTATATGCACACATCAGTAAATAAATATAATTTCTTTAGTAAATAAAACTTAATGTCATAATGTCACAAGTAAATCCTTGTTTTTAGTGTTGTTTGAGACGTTACCCAACGGTTAATTAAATAGACAAAAATCATTATGTTCTAGCCAAACGCCACCCCTCTACTTGTCAGATTTTGCAATGGCAAATCATGAACTTACTGCTGATATTTACACAATGTTGGTATCACAGTAGGTAACATAGCTAATAGTTACAGATGTCACAAGGGCAATGCAATGGCAGACACAGTAAATATTGAAAGAATGTAAGAAACTTTAAGTTTTAGTTTTTTGGTGGAGTTAATAAAATATGGACTTGCCCAGGTAGAGATATGTACTTGCCAAGGTGGAGAGTTAAGGAATAATTTTTTTGTCAAAATTTGATATAGAGGAAGATAGTGAGGGTTGTCGGGGAAACACATTTCAATAACGGGTTCACTCATTTGACTTTGACTGAACAATTACACCACTTAGTTGCTTTGTCTTGAATTACCATTTTTTGATCTGTAGTGTCAAACTTGGCTCTTGAAATATTGTATGTCAGTGGGATTGAAAATCAGCAATTAACAAAAAAATAACTGTCCTGTTTAGCACTGTTGAGTTGTTATCAATTTAGCCATTAGCTGCAGCTCTCTGAATAAATCTGGAACTTTATTGGACGCTTTAACTTAAATCCGTATTATGTAGATTAAGTTTTAAATTGGTTGACATAAATTGAAAAATATATATAGATATAAAATAAAGAATTTTCAAAATATATCCACAGTAGGTCACATCATTATGTTTTAAGGAAAATATAATTTATTTAAAGGGGGCGCAATCTCATATTCACATTCTGAAAATGCAGCACTGATCCAATGGTTTCCTCCCTTGTTTGAGGAAAGCTTTGAATTTTCGAGGCACAGAATATTTCATTGTGATTATTTTTTCCCTGTTTTTTATATTCGAAACTTAACAGATCAATGAGAGCTGTGGACTAAATTGTTGACATGTTTGAGACGAGATATAAAACACAGGTTAGTGGAAAACCTGACGAAAGATGAAATAAAACAATGAAAGTGTCTGGGACAATGACTTCGTCAGCAAAAGTGAAAGGAGAAATAGAGAATGAATTTTAAAAAAGTAGAAGAAGAAATTATGCATCTTATTTTGTGTCTGGCTTGGGTAGATAAAGATCTTGTGGATTTTGTGGGGGGGGGGAGGAGGAGAGGTTGTTGACATGTTTGGGGAAGAGGGGGTAATGGTGTATATCCATTTGGGGGAGGTTGTGTTGGGCCTTACCTCAAAAGATTTTGCGTAATTCTATATTGACCAGTAGTATAANAAAAAAAAAAAAAAAAAAAAGAAAAAAAAAAAAAAAATTTAAAAAGAGGGGGGGGGGGGGGGGGGGGGGGGGGGTTGTGTGTGTGAAGTTGAATCAATAACCTCAAAGCACTAAACAAATATAAGAAACAGGGACTTGAAAGGTCTGTTTACAAATGAGTGCTGAAGTTGTAAATCATTTTAGATTTAAAACACGATGTGTATAAATGGGTCAATCAATCAGTGGGTTAAATAAATGCTATAGTAACGCCATATCTGTTCCCAATATAGTATGTGTTTTATTTGTAAAATCATGATTTAATTTGAGGGCCGTATTAAAAGAGGTGGTGGGTCGAATTTTTGGCCCACGGGCAGTAGTTTGCCAATCAATGTCTTAGAACTTTAAAAAAAATCGTTTACTTCGAGAGTTGGTTTTTGAGATAAAGGAACATTATTATAAATGATTCTCGGTAAATCTAGATTTTATGATGTTACGATACGATCATTGAAAAAATGGGCCCTCCAAAATTATTGATTCTCATGATGTTCTAAATAACTTTGCATTGTGATGTAGCCAAACGTTGTTGTTCGTCCTTCGCATGCAAAGATGACCGAGACTATAATACACGGTGAGTATGCAGTCCTATTGGCCACTGGAAAGCTTTCCCGCACGTGGACACACGTTGTTTTGGGGTATTAGTTGGATTTGAACGTCTCTAAACGTGTTCTGCTACATATATACTACTGACTGCATGCACATGTTGTCATGATTAGACATGTATGCTACTGACTGCATGCAGATGTTGTCATGATTAGACATGTGTACTACTGACTGCATGCATATGTTTTCATGATTAGACATGTATGCTACTGACTGCACGCAGATGTTGTCATGATTAGACATGTATGCTACTGACTGCATGCAGATGTTGTCATGATTAGACATGTATGCTACTGACTGCATGCTGATGTTGTCATGATTAAACATGTATGCTACTGACTGCATGCAGATGTTGTCATGATTAGACATGTGTGCTACTGACTGCATGCATATGTTGTCATGATTAGACATGTATGCTACTGACTGCATGCTGATGTTGTCATGATTAGACATGTATGCTACTGACTGCATGCAGATGTTTTCATGATTAGACATGTGTGCTACTGACTGCATGCATATGTTGTCATGATTAGACATGTATGCTACTGACTGCACGCAGATGTTGTCATGATTAGACATGTATGCTACTGACTGCGTGCAGATGTTGTCATGATTAGACATGTATGCCACTGACTGCATGGAGATGTTATCATGATTAGAAATGTATGCCACTGACTGCATGCAGATGTTGTCATGATTAGAAATGTATGCCACTGACTGCATGCAGATGTTGTCATGATTAGAAATGTATGCCATTGACTGCTTGCAGATGTTGTCATGATTAGAAATGTATGCCACTGACTGCATGCAGATGTTGTCATGATTAGACATGTATGCTACTGACTGCATGCAGATGTTGTCATGATTAGACATGTATGCTACTGACTGCATGCTGATGTTGTCATGATTAGACATGTATGCTACTGACTGCATGCAGATGTTGTCATGATTAGACATGTATGCTACTGACTGCATGCAGATGTTGTCATGATTAGAAATGTATGCCACTGACTGCATGCAGATGTTGTCATGATTAGAAATGTATGCCACTGACTGCATGCAGATGTTGTCATGATTAGACATGTATGCTACTGACTGCATGCTGATGTTGTCATGATTAGAAATGTATGCCACTGACTGCATGCAGATGTTGTCATGATTAGACATGTATGCTACTGACTGCATGCTGATGTTGTCATGATTAGAAATGTATGCCACTGACTGCATGCAGATGTTGTCATGATTAGAAATGTATGCCACTGACTGCATGCAGATGTTGTCATGATTAGAAATGTATGCCACTGACTGCATGCAGATGTTGTCATGATTAGACATGTAATGAATAATGCCATTGAAACACTCCACCCCTGCCTGCGGATCCCAATATTTTATTGTCACCAATACTTTATAAAAATGGCTTTAAATGTTAAACTAAAGGTTGCCGAGCCCTGCCCCTCAGTGAGGTGGGCAAGAGGCATTGGAATCTAAGCCTATCCTGCAGCCCATACCGTCTAAGCCTATCCTGCAGCCCATGCGGTACGTCCTGATTTTGCCAGGATCTTCCCACTGAGAAAGCCTGCCACGCCGTCATTGTTTCAATCTCAGTTTGCAGAAATGATTTGTCCGATATGTTCGTACACATACTTAATAATGAAAAGTGAATGGATTTAAATGTGATATTTAATTTAAGGAAACTAATATTCTATGCGTAGAGTCTTAAATTCTAGGCTTGTATTAGTGATAAGACATGTTCTAATAATAGCCCGCCTTAGTTTCATGAGAATACGTTTAGTTAATGTGTCAATGTGAACGGGGGGGGGGGGGGCAAACGTGACACACTGCATACAAAGCGTGGTAAGAGTGTGGAGCAGGGCCGTCGCCAAACGTGACACCCTGCAAACAAAGCGTGGTAAGAGTGTGGAGCAGGGCCGTCGCCAAACGTGACACCCTGCAAACAAAGCGTGGTAAGAGTGTGGAGCAGGGCCGTCGCCAAACGTGACACACTGCATACAAAGCGTGGTAAGAGTGTGGAGCAGGGCCGTCGCCAAACGTGACACCCTGCATACAAAGCGTGGTAAGAGTGTGGAGCAGGGCCGTCAACCCCGGGTCACTTTTTTTTTCTACATAGAGACGGTTTTTTCGGAAAACTGAAGAGTTTATTTTTTTCTAGTTGAATAGGCGGCAACAAACTTTGGGGCGGCACTAAACCTGGCTGGATTGTTACCTGAGTCCATTGACCCCCTTTACACCGCATCCTATGAGAAGACAGTGCTAGAAGTAGGCGTACTAAGCCATAATTTACAGCCAGTAATCGTCTCCTGACGATAACAAACCAACTCAACATTGTATGACTATAACAAACTTCAAATTTTATGACTATAACAAACTCCACAATTTTATGACTATAACACACTCCACATTTTATGACTATAACACACTGCACATTTTATGACTATAACACACTCCACATTTTATGACTATAACACACTCCACATTTTATGACTATAACACACTGCATATTTTATGACTATAACACACTCCACATTTTATGACTATAACACACTCCACATTTTATTATTACTATAGTTGATTACAAACAAACGTTACATTTTATCATTCTTTAACAAATAAACTTCAAATTTTATCATGATTATAACACACACAATGAACATTTATCATGACAATAACACATTTCACATTTTATTATGAGTATATAAAATTTCAAATTTTATCATAACTACAACAAACAAAATTCACATTTTATCGTTACTATAACAAACTTTACAATTTATCATGACTATAAAATAATTTCCACTGTATCACGTCTATAACTAAGTCCATATTTGACTGAGCTGTTCAAAGACATGGGACACAAAGAGAAACATGACACTGTTTATAGAAATAAATTCAATGGAGAAAATGAAAAGACTTAATGTCGTCCACTGACTAAATATCCCTTTTCCCATCATTACTTCATCTAAGCCTGGGTCTGCCAAATATAAACAACCCGGGTCTTACCAAGATTCGTCAGATTCATTTGACTAGGGGTTATTATATTA